ACTGAGAGATATAATTTGATTTTAAAAAGTGAGTGAACAAAAGAAAATTTCCAAATATTGCAGAATTCAGGTGAAGTTTAAAAATATAATTCCATACACCAAACATTTTAAGTTCCTTTGCTAATACTTATCAACTTGGGGACAAGAGATACATGGAAATTACATGGCTTCCTGTGCTTGGGGAATGAGGAAAGCATACTGAAAGAAGGTTAGCAAAGCACAAAGAAAAAGATTGGTTTGGTGTTTAAGCTGAGTAAAGACTCAATTGAAATCCAAAGGCAGATGGAGGGTTAGGGGCAATGGCTCGTATTTATTATTTTTCATTCTCTGGAAATATTTATCTTTCCAAAGGGTGTGAATTGTTTCCTTCAGTCAAAACAAAGGTAACACACCACAAAATAAGAAAAAAATGAAGCTAAACTAACTTTTGAAATCATTGACCCTCTGTCAGAGGTGGTTTGGATTGAGAAATAATTGTTAGAAAATGACAGGACTTAACTAAAAATTTTCTAAAAATTGAGAGTGGGCTAGGAAGTTGCATGCATACCAGCTGCAGTTCAGGGTAACTGTGGAGCCCTTCTCAGTTGGAAAAAACAAGTAAATTCATTATGGGATGTTTATTCTTAGGGAGTGGGTCTAAGGAAATAGCATAGACAGTAAGGGAGCTTTACAAATGACTCAGTGAAAATCAAAACATGATTGAATATGCTGTTCCTTTTTAGTAAATGATGACTCATTTAAGTTGTAACAGTTGAACTAAAATATCCACTTTTACATGAGACATGCCAATTAGACTAAGTGTTTGAATAAAGGGTCCTAATGCTGCATCAAATGGTACAGTACCTGGTACTTCGTAGGCACAAAATATCTTTGTGGTATTACATTATTTGAAGTCAACCTTGAAGTTGAAATTTTCCACTTATCTGGGCAAGAGCATTTCTCCCTAAGGGTTCAAAATCCAATTACACCATACAGATCATTAAAAGTCACACATGGTGTCCTAAAGGGATAAAGAGTTGGAGTATAATGACAATTACATCTATAAAGTATACATGAATGGGGAGGCTGTGTTACCTGCAACTCCTTGTCAGGCCTTTACTGTTCCCATTGGAATATGCCTTATGTAATCCATCAGTCAGGAGAATTAATGGTGTGACTAGCAATTCAGGCCATACAGAGATGACCAAGGCATCCTAAATCGTGTTAGAGCAAATAAAACCTACAAAATGGGACTGCTAGCACAGCAAATTTCAAAACTGCCTCCCTGCACTAGAAAATGTGTCAGTGATGAAAAGCAGAGGTGAAAGCAAAAATGTCCTCTAGGGAAGAGTGTACTAACTCTTAGGCACAACAGGTGGAGCAGATTTTGGGGATCTTCTGGGAGGAAAATTGACATACCTTTAATGAAGGGTCTGTGTAAAACCCCAAGCCTCATTGCTCAGTGCCTTGAACTGCGCCTCTAACTGAAAAGACAGCATTCAAACTCTTGTCCCCCTTGGTAGGTCTATGGCCTACCACTTACTAAGGAGACTGCACTTTCTTATATGTAACTTCCCAGCCCCCTTGTCTTGAGGATGGGGGCTTAAAACCAAAGTCTGGACAAAAGGACTTGAGGGGAATTCTGCTTAAGACAGCTGGAGAAAACTGTCATTCCTGATTAAAAAAAAAAAGTCACTCTTTACCTCTCTGTTCTTGGGTTTTGCGGAATTTGGTGAAAAGAATTATTGCCTGGAGCAGCTGCAGTGATTTAAAGCCAATGAAGGGGGCAAATAAGAGACTGAAGCTAGAGAAGTGGGAAGATGGGCAGAGACTGGGATTCCATCTGTTAAACTGACTCAAAAGCACCCAATTTTTGACTCGTTTTTGATGGGCATGAATATAGGCTCTTGTCATTTAAGGCAGTACTTCTCCAACTTCACTGCGCATTCAAATCATTTGGCGATCTTGTTACCATTAAGTTTCTGATCGAGGAGGGCCAAGGTGGTGCCTGAAGAGACTGCAGTTCTCAGCTCTCAGGTGATGTCCAAGCTGCCCACATACTGGGTCACAAGTATTTAAGCCACTTGCAATCAGTTATTTGAAGCTAGATGCATATTAAATAGCAATGCTGAATAGCATGAGAATTGAAAATTAAATTCAATCTAAAGACATGCATGATGAGCCTTAGGAATTCACCAGTTAAAAATTTCATAAATATGATTATAACATGTGAGGGCTTTAAGGTCCCTGTGGTCTGTGTCCAAATCCTGGTTCTGTCATTTCAGCAGGGTCACTGTATGACCCTGTTGGAAAATTGTTCAAACTCTCTGAATCTTGTTTGCTTCATCAGAGAACACCATCTATCTCCCATGGTTGGCTTGAGGAGTGTTGAGACGATATGATAAAAAATCTAGATTTTGAAAAAAGGGTGAGCTCCTTTTCTATGGTGCTATTAGCAGTATGGAAATCTGTATCACCACACTTCATTCACACCAAAGATTACTTATTTAAAATACTGCTAGGCCTGAGAGAAGAGGAGAGATTATGGAAATCAGGCCAGAGATTTACCTTGTAACCAAGCTGCTGAAATGCTTGCTATTAGACTATCTTAAACTTAACTGGGAGTCTAAAAAAACTGAAATTGTACTTTGATTACACTTGTGTATTTTTAAGACCTGTCTTTGTCCTTGATGAAAAACGGATTTTTGTACTTTCAGACTTTCTGCTGTATTTTGCTGTCATTCATACATTTGTTGTAATTCTGTCAATTGCTGGAATGATGCCAAATGAAATGAATGTTAGCAGACATAATCAATAGTAAATCAAATCTATTGCCTTTAGTGATAGAAAAGTGGAAGGGAATGCAATTTTCCTGTCAGATTGCAAATAAGATTATGGATATTAGCTATAAGTATAAATGTTGCAAGATGCTGTCTGGATTTTAGTGTTTGAAGAGTAGTAGAGATTTTTCTCTTTAAAAGCCTGGGATCTTTGATCAATATAATGTTTTGAAAGCCTCTTAGAATGATTTTGGAATATCCTTCACATGATGTCAGAGTACAAGATTTTACTAATCACTCCCCAGGCATTAAGTCATGATCTTCTGGGCAAGGGCATTGCCATGGATAGGAATAACTTTTACATGTCTCCAACAGAAGATGAAAATATGTTTCAATATTATATATGTCCTACTTACATTAGGGAATCCATATAACTTCAAATATGGCTACACTGGGCTATCATTTACCTTTCAGTATCATTGTTACCAAATAATTCTCAAAAATATCTGAAACTATATGTTTAAATATTGCAAAGGCTTTCTCAGATGGGGTGACATGGGCTAAACCTCTCATTTCAGGAGTGCTGTAGAGCAGAATGGTGGAGAACATGGGCTTCTAAGTTGGCTGTAACTAGGTTTTAGGCTATTTAACCATTAATTATGCCAATTTGGACATGTTACCTAATTCCTGAGACTCAATTTCCTTATCTGTAAAATGGAAATCATAGTGACTATTTCAAGGCATGTTTAGAAGATTCAGTTTGGTATGAATGTAGCGCACTTAGCACATGCTTGGCACTTAGTAACAGTTCAGTGAATTTTAAGTAAAAACAGATTATTCAAACCTGAAAAGAAAGCACTTATTCTCATTTTATTTATTCATCCTATAATTTTCCCAGTGGTGAGCTCTTAGGGGAAGAAATGGTTTGCCTAGAAAGTAGAGCCTGAGTCAATAGTTGGTGCACGCGTAATTTATTTTGGAGAGTGATTCTAGGGAGTAGGAGTGAGGGACTGAAGGAGTGCAACCCAGAAGGGGGAAACAGGAAGGTATGCAGCTGTGGGAAGCTGAGGTCCACGGGCCTTTCCAAGAACCACGTAGAATATCTGAGGGTGGAAAAAGGGGAACTTAGTTCTTTGCTCCTGTCTTCAGTTAATTGGTTTTCAATGGGGTATTAACATCTTCATATAAGTTTGTAGCATGTAAGGGGTGAGCCTGCTAGTTCTAGCAGACAGTCAATATATGTACCAGAGAAGTCCCAGAGCAGAAAGTGAAAGAGCACACAGCCAAGCGTCCAGGTTTTATTTATGCAGTGCCAGGTGCTGTAAGATGCAGAGGTGGTCATCACATTCCAGGAGGGACGAAAGAGGCATTGCATCCATGCTTCTTTATAGAAGCCATGTGCTTTCAATGACCCTTTAGACTGTTTCAAAGCCCACTGTTAGGCAACAGTGACCTAAATAATTCTCTGTATTGCAGAGAACCAGTGCTGGAGTCAGCTCGTTCTGGTGGATCTACAACTGTAATCTGCAAGCCTCTCAATGGTCATTTCTAGGCTAAACATCTAATAAAAAAAGACCTATTCTCAGGGTGGGCTGAGATCACATTTTGAAGAGAACCCGTGTTCCTTAGCTCTGTCAGAAAACACAAACATGTCTCCCCCATGTCCCTAGTCTCTCAGTGTTGAGCTGGAGACCTCAGTGGAGGCAATTAAAATGACAAAATGCTTTTCCTGTTTAAAATAGCTTCAAAAGGTTATTTGTTTATCACTGTGGATGATTTAATAATGCTGCTTATATGTTTTATTATACAATTTATAGTTTCCCTTGAGGTTGTTTTTTTTTTTAACTTTAAGGGAGGAATAACACTTGGAAAGCTTGTTTTTGGAGGCCTAGGAAACCTTTAAATGCATAAATACATATGAAATATGTGGGTCTACAACCAAGGGCAAATGTATCGAAGGGAAAGTCCAGTTATATGATCTCTTTAAGGATTGTTGTCTTTGTGTTGGTGAGCATTCCTTCACCTAAAAATGGCCCAATTAGTAAAGCTTAAAGAATCACAAAGATAAAAATTTCCTACCTTCCTACTGAAAAGTATATATTCATTAGAGATCTATTTAGCCATAAAGGTGAAACTGGGTTCCAGACAAATGTCTTTCACATTAGAAACTGTATTAAATTAATTGAAAAATAAACATTGATAATAATAATAAAACAAGAGAAATGATGAACAGTAAAAAGTAAATACTTTTTAAATGTTGCTCAAATTAACATTCAATAAAACCACATCTTTCAGACAACATAATTATTTGCATCATAAAAAACTCTAGTGGTTGAAATTTAAAATATTGATTAAAAAGCTTCAGTTGGACTTCAAATCAGCCTAAAAAGAAATTTCCATCTTAATAAAGTAGGCAAAACTTTCCTTTTAAACATTACAACTTATTTTTTTTTGAAATGTGGTTACTGTTCTCATAAAAGACCTGAAATGGGTCTTTCAGAAAAAGGGAACCTTTCCCATTTTAGATTGAATCCAACAGAACAGTGAAGACATAATTCTAAAGTATCCAGAAGAAAAGTAGAATATACAAAGAATGACTTGGACATTTTCAAATACCTAGATATTCAGGTTGATCTGTCAACAAAAATGATCAATTCTGTAACATTTTTAAGTTTCCTAATGGTATTCCAATGTCCAGCCTGTCCTAAGGAATATTTAAAAACCACAGAAACACAGTATGCTGCCTAGATTTATCTGAATTTCTAAGCCTGATTACACACTTTCAGACAACTTGTGGAAGATTCCCTTATGTGAAGTAAGAAGATGCTCTTTGACTTTAGTCACCAAAGTTAATATTCCCATGATTTAAGTTGACTTCATACAGTCAAGTTTATTTTACATTCTTAGTTACTTACTTCTGCAAGTCAACACAGTACAAGAATTAATGCATTTTGTGCCTTCAATTCAAATTAAATAGTAAACACTGCCATTTGTGAACTTTTTGGACAATGAATATAAAATACTTCATTTCCAATACTCAGCAGAAGGATTTAAATTAAACAGTAACAGATGAATTGGGCAGGCACAGAATACTAAATAGGAACTGGCAAATGAAATAATCTAACTCTTCGCTTTTACAATGAAAAGAAGAATTGATTCTGCATTGAAAGAAAGAAGTGAAAGGACGAAGTGTTTTTAAAAAAGCCTCTCCACCAAAAGAGCACTCAGTAGCTTTGCATTGTTAACCAAATTTCTTTATCAGAAACTATAATTTAATATATAAGTATCTAATTTACATGTGACATGGTATCATATTCAAAAAATTTAACTGCAACTAGAAAACTATTAACCACTAAAAACGATACCAAACACAACTCAAACATTTATAGGAAAGCAATAGCTAGAATTTGAATTTGAAAAAATGTTTCATCATGTTTGGCTCATTAAACAATGCATCCACTGTAGCCTGTAAAAGCGCATCTTTTCTAGTTCATCAAAGTTTCTCCTTTGTAGCATGAATAACATGTAAAGATAGATTTACTGACTGTATATGCACACGTGTGTATACATATATATATATGTATTGTGAGACATACACTCGTGTATTGATTTAAAGATATTGTATCTACTGATAACTGGCTGAACGTTGGAAGGTGCTGAAATTCATATTTCTACATGACCTCTGACCCACTTAATAATGTCTTTTTATGAACAGAAATTACATAAAAAACTTTTTTTATTAACTGAATATTTTCTTAAGCATAATAGACAATGAAGGAATTGCACTTATTGTAAAGGTACAGTAAAGTGTTAGATTGCAGCTTAGCCATCAAAGATCAGGGACCATGGTTCTGATAAGTTGTGTATTATATGCAGAGATGACGGTGGCCAGTGAAATTAAAATGAGAGCAACTAGTTACAGAACAAATAGGGGGAAAACAGAAGAAAACATGCACTACTTCTACTTTAATGCAAAACTAATTTCTCCCAGGAACCCAACCCTTTGACTGTCCTTACATAAAGAAGCAGGTTCTGCACCCTTGGCAACACAGTAGACTTGGACTTTCGAATTCGAATTCTAGTTCTTTGTCTCTGAGTGTGCTGTCCCAGTGTCATCTTCTTAAGCTGCCCTTGAAATTCTGGAGCATGTACAACATTACAGTCTCTTGGTTAGGTTTCATTGAGCCTCAATATCCCCTTCAGTTCTATATAAATAGGGTCCATTATTCATCTTCTTCTGGTTCCTGTGGTAACACGGGTATTTCTTCCTTTAAACAATCACTGAAGAATCTGAGGATTGTGCTGTAGAGATGATATTTGCTCTTCTCAGATACGTTATGACCTTCATCTGGGTACACCTAAGACATTGAGGGGAAAGGAGATTTAAAGTTTCCAAAGCAGGTATTGTCCCTCAGAATTCAATCACTTACCCCCAATGGCAAGGGAACTTTGGAAAATAATATCGAATCAAAATCTCACCTAATCCAACTCTGAGTTCTTGATCCTCAGCCTTTTTTATTATTCTCATATGAATCAACATTTAACATAAAATACAATTTTGATGTATTTAAATTAGGACTTGGCAAAAAATAGTAAAGCTTTCCAGATTGATGTTGGCCAAGATGGTAGTTATTCCCTTCAGCTTGACTAAATTTTAGACAAGTTCTTCCTTATCTTCCTTTTCTTAGAATATTTACTTTAGAAAACTTGCAATTATAAGTTCTTTCTCTGTCCCTTTAAAATATATGTGAATCTTCTTTCAGCCTTTTGCCAGTTTTAAAACTCAGGAAATGTCTTTCTCAAGAACATGGAAGCATCCCTTTGAAACATCAACACTGAAGAACACAGCAGCCCTCTCTCTGTGGGAAAGTAGGAGACTTGCCTAGAGAAGTTGTAAAACCGCCTCTGGTCATAAAGATACAGAAAGTTTCCATTTATTTTGTAGGTGAAACCACCAAACACACGTGGCCTATGAGTCCCTCCATCTTAGCTCTTAAAAACTCTCTAGCTCTTTGTTTCAACAGAGTGGAAACTACCCTACTAGAACAGTCTTAAATAAAATCTTCTTGTCTGTTTAGCCTTGTCTGGTGCAGTTTTTACTCTGACAACATCCTTTCCTTTCCAGTATAAACAATATTAGTAATTTTTCTAAAGTAAAAATAGAAAAAGAAATATTTGTCAGTTCCTGGGTGTAAGTTTTTAAATAGTGCCTCCCTGCTCGGTGAGTAGAGCCTCATTCTCCTTCCAGTTGTTTACGGCATCATTTGCCATCTGTTCATCTCCACATCTTCGTCTTTCATCACCCTAAACGTGATATGTGTGTTTTAGGTATGCTGAACTACTACTTTTGGTTCTTTCAAATGCTGAGGAATTAAAATTACTCTTTTGCCTTTTTACTCCTCTCTCAGATTGAAAGATTCTTGATGTTTAAAGTATGTTTTATTGACCCATCTAGCATAGTGACCACTGTGAAGTATGTCTTTGATACATATTTATTAAATGTAGTTGAATGCACAGATGCCAATGATGTTTTATCTTCTCTTTTCTCATAATAGTTCCTCTAACCACTTTCCCCCCACTTTTTATGCTAAAAGGCAGAGGGACTAGAAGGGAAAGAGAAAATTATTCTTTTAAGAATTCATTATTATTGATGTGAATAAGAGTCTGAGGAGAAAGACATTTTTGAATGAGCTTATGCAATTTTACTTTTAAAGCATGAGCTGATCCTTTTTCTTGACATAATTAAGAAAAAAGGAACACAATGTTTGGTACCTAAAAAACACAGTGAAAAGTAATAGTGTAGGGGATGGAGTAGCACAGAAGTTGTGTTTTTCATCTCATAACTAAAAGAACAATGTAGGGAAATGCATTCTCCTGAAAAGTAGCTTACCTGCAATGTATAATTCACTCCAGCTCTTATTATGTGTTTGATTAATTCTGCTGAATGCTGGAAATGAACTTTTGCTGCAAGAAATTAAATCATGATTTCATAAGACACATGTTTAGTAGGATCAGAACATTAGATTAAGTATTTCACTTTACATACATTGCTCATTTAAAAGCCTGATACCTGGCTTTAACTAAGAAGCCAATAGGTACAATGGTGATAAAACTTTGAGGTTTATAAAAAAATTATACAACTATGAAAAATATAAACTGAAACAGAAGCTAATACTAAGGCTCTATCTACTGTACACAAAATAGTATTTAAATGTACTTCTTTGGTTACCACTTAAATATTTCTAATTACTCACATATTTTCCACCAGTACAACATAGTGAATACCTGTCTTGACAGTAATACAGCAAAATAGCTTTCTGTTTCTTTCTGAGGGTTACTAGGACCCAACCTCAGATACTGGCATTCTGTTTTATTTTAAATTAGAAAAGGATACCCCACATTGAGAAAATAAAATACACATCTCACTATTCAAGGACTAAATTTTTATTGAGGATCATACTGGTATCGCTCCTGTTCCCTTCTAGCTTCCTTCTGCCTGAACCTAAGGTCCAAAAGCCTAAAATAAGCAGCACAGTAGGCTGGGCTGGGTAGCGACATCGTCCCTAACTAGCTCTGCAGATTGGATGAACACCTCAGTCTCTTTGTATAGCACTTTCTGCTTGTGCTACTCGGGCTATTCATCCTATATTACATACATCTTCAAATTTCTGTAAGTAACTTTTAAGCTAACATTTTAAGTCTTTGTAAAACAAGGGCAGTCTTAACAATAGTTTAAGCTTCTTTATTGCTCTAATTTAATGATATTGATTAAACCTACACACAACAGACCATAAAGGCTTCCAAATGATCATTTAAATCTTTTAAAATCTCCTAAGATCTTTTTCAGCATCTCCCTATTGTCCTCAATGGGAAGACATTACGTGTCTGTGTGTGTCTGTGTGTGCACGTGTGTGTGCAAACACACAGGTTCATTTCCCTTAAAATGACTAGTCCTGAACCTCTGCTTGCATTTTATCAGGTGGTGAAGAACCAGCCCCATGACTGAGTCCAATAAGGACAACAAGATTTACCTTAGTAGCTGCAACATATTGGCAGAGGAATGAGAATAGCACTAATATATCTAGGATGATGGCTAGACATGAAATAATTTAACCTTGAATATAATTTATTTCCACAAGGAAGCTTCAGAGTAAAATGAATAAGAGCCTAATGCTGGATTGTAATTCCCTTCTATGAGTCAGTAGTTGTGTGATTTTTGATAACTTAAATAAATTCAGCAATATTTATTTTCCCAATCTTTTAAATAAGAAGAGTAATAATACCTACTACACAGTACTTTGGTGAAAAACAAATAATATAATATCAAAAGTTTTTGGCACATATTTTGACAGCACTTAATAATTGCTACTTGTTATTACTGTTAATATATATATAGGATCTTAATACCTTAGGATGACATTCTGATGTTCCTCAGAATGTTTATGCTGTCTTTCACCCTGCTTCACAGGTATGGTATCATCTTAGTCTTTTTAAAAATTTTATAATACTTTTAATTTTCAGAAAAATTCCAAAGATAATACAGGAAGTTCCTGTATACCCCACCCCTCACCCAGTTTCCCCTTTTTTAACATGTAACATTATTAGGATACATCTGTCACAGCTAAAAAACATTTGAACATCAAATGTCCTTAACCTCTTCTGGCCAATGAGAAATTTTCAGACTTTGCTTTGATGACCTTGCCAGTTTTGAGGAGTACTGGTCAGCTATTTGGAAGAATGTTTCTCATCGGTTTTGTCCTGACGTTTTCCTCAGGGTTAGATGGGGGTTATGAGCTTTTGGGTCAGGAACATATAGATAGAGTGCCATTCTCACGAAATCATGTGCAGTGTGAATACTACCAACATGACTTGTCACTGTTGACATTAACCTTGGTCAATTGGCAGAGATGGTATTTGTCAAGCTTCTCCTTTTTAAAGTTACTTTTTCTCCCTCTTCCCATGCTACTGTTTTGAAACAAATCACTAAGTGCAACCCTCTTTGAAGGGGGAGGAGAGTTAAGCTTTGCTCTGTTGAGGGGAATACATACATAAGTTATTTAGAATTCTATCTAAGGAAGATTTGTCTCTTTTCCCCCATTTTTCTACTCATTTTATATATGTCAATATTGATCTAAGCTCTAATTTAACTTGGTCTGACACGCTTGAAGATTAAGAACAATGATGTTTCTAGCAAATGATCTTTGCTATAAGACTTCCAAAAGTGATATTCTCTGTAAAATGGGGTAAAAACACTAAGGGCATGGTAGACCAAAAAAACATCAAATTCAAGTATTAGGAAATATTGATTCAGGGCTCTGCCTTTCTTTGCTCACTTGCCACAGAACCTTGGATAAATCAGTTTCCTCCTTGAAATTGATTTTTCCCATCTGTGAATGGGGCTATAAATACTCAGCTCTGTTGTAAAGTATTGCCTAGAATAACAACAACAATAAAATACAAATTCTTTGAGCCCTAAAATGCTTCAAGTGAATATAAAATGATATTATTTATTACTAGTAATATCAATTACGTTGATCTTCAATGTCTAAAGTGATGAAAAAAATGACAGGTGATATAAAATTCCTTTTTTTAAAAATGATTTTCGTTTGCTTGTTTTAAGTTTATTTAAATGAGTAACCTCATCAGAATTTCCTCTCAGTGCTGCCATCCTGTTGTTTTCCAAGTTAGTTTCCACTTAAGGGATGCTGAGTAACAACACCACAGTTGCAGTCACTGACCATATGTGGTTATTAACATTTTAATTAATTAACATTAAATAAAATAAAAAATTCAGTTCCAGAGTCATAGTAAACACATTTCGAGTACTCAAGAGCCACATGTGGCTAGTGGCTACCCTGTTCAACAGCACAGATAGAGAACATTTCCATCATCCTAGAGAGATTTATTGGACAATGTTGCCGTTGAGGCTCACAACTTCCTCTCCTCTTAGTCCTGATTTCCTTCTTCCCGCTTCCTGTCATTCAGTGGATTCTCCGTGACACTCTGCTCTGCTCTCTTCTTCAGAAAGTTTACAGGCCCCCTGAAAGCAAGTCCTTAGATGTACTCTTTTGTTCAAGGTCAGGCTTCTTCAAACAGTAGCAACAAAAGCAATACTTACTGTCAGCAGTCCCATGAATTATTAATATATTTTCTTCTTTTAAGCCATGAATATTATGTAGCACACTGCATGCCTATATATGAAGGAAAACACAAATATCTGTATATAAAGATCTAGGTATAGTTGCAATTTGACTTTTTAGAACAAAAAAATCTCCTTCATTATTTTTAAATTAGTTACCTGGTATGTGCTTTCCTCCTTAGATGGCATACCGAGGTATCTCTCAGAGAAAGCTGAGGCTGGGACCCAAGAAAACAGAAATTTAAAAATGAACTAAAAATCATTTGACTAGCATCTTCCATTGTTTAATTTCTGCATTTCACATTTAATTGTCATGCTCCAGTAAAACTGATTGAACCAGGGAGATTATAAACAACTGAAAACATCTCTGAGAGCTCATGATAAATGACCTCAACTGTGCTCCTCTGCATTGGGACTTTCTTTTCTACAGAACAATACATTATGTTCGGTCAGTCTGTGGGAAGTACTCACCATACAACTTCAGGTCTGTGATGGGTGCGATCACTGATCCACATTTAAAAAGGTTTTCATCTGATTTTAAGATCATTGATGCAACATAGCCACCATACCCCTGGCAAAATTAAGAATATGTACACATATAAATTATTTCTGGAAATTTTTAGGTTTCAATTACTGTTGGGTAATACAGATATCAGCATGTCTCATAATGTCCTGGACTTGAGCAAAGAATGCAGTAAGATCACTTTTTACAGATGAAAATTCTGAAGAGTTGTCTGAGTTTTTATGTGACAAGCTTTTTAAGTAACTTTGAGATATAAAATTAATTATATCACCATGTCAAATATTTTCCCTTTGATTTCATATAGTATGTTTGGGAACAGTCTCCCAGATAATTTGAAGCTAGGGAAATAACAGTACTGATCTGGACATGATCTGGACAGAAAAGTTCCAGAGGAGATTTTAATTATAGTAATGCTGGACTAAGGAAATGACCTACCGAGTTATCTCTTCATTTTAGAAATTAATTTTTAGCTGTGCTGTGGGCAATGTTCTTCATCTTGCTGTATATCAGAGCATCTTGGGAGTTATTATAAAAATATTAACAGCCAGGCCTTAGCCCCAGAAATTCCAATGCAATTGGTTATGATGAAGTATGAAGTATACTTTTGAAAGGTTTCCCAATGATTGTAGTATGGCCCAGTGCTGTAGGAATCTGTTATTCTCCAAACTCTTGAGATAAGAAGTGCAGAACTTCATTTATGTTTATTTGGAGCATCATTTAAAAAATTGATACATGAAAGTCTAAAATGAAGTCAGGCATTACTGAAGTGGCTCAGAGAACATATGTGAAGAATAGCAGAATATGCTACCCCAAAATATACCACTGTGGCAAACTGATTGTTTTGAGCTTTAGGCACTTGAAAAACAGCTAAATTCAAAGAAAGGGAGAAGCTATCTTTGAACTCCCCTGACCTGCCTAAAGGCAGATCCCCTAAAAGGAACTCAACCATCATAGATCCCCACCCCAGAAGATTCATCAACCAAGGAAGATTAAATTGTCACAGGAAAGGAGACTAGAAGCCACCTTAGGGAGTTTCTCCATTTCCCTGGGTGTCTCCCATATAGACATGAGGTATACGCATGTATAAACTTCTGTTTATTTTTCTCTTGTTAATCTGTCTTTATTATAAGGAGTCTCAGCCAAGGACTCAGAAGGGGAAAGAGAAAATTATTTTTTCCCCGTACATATGTCAGTTTTATACTAGAATATTCAGGTAGTACCCAGAAGCTTAAGGAAAACTTCTCCAACAGTTTGGAACCAGGTAAAGAACTGTAAACAAATTGTAAGGTTTGTTAGACAGATTTAAGTTAGTGCCTTTGCCAGGGATCAGAGTTTCTCATGAGTTAGTCATCCTTCTCTCCCTGGCACAGACAGGGAGACATGAATGAAGATTTCCTTTAGAAACATAAACGTCCTTCACAAAAGGGTAACTTCTATCCTGTTTTCAAAGCTTCTCTTATGTCTGCTGTTCCTTAAATAATAAACTCAAAGTAATTCTTGCACCAAAGAGGCACATTCTGGAGAGGCATACTCTCCCCTGCAGAAGTATGAAGGGGTGCGATGAGTTATGCAAAGCAAGTACTTAACAAGCTATCATAGAGCAAAAGTGTGGAGAGTTGTTGGAAGTTCTGTTCCTGAAGGAGCTTTCTCAGTGTATTACTTCTAGTTCTCTGCCACGGAGATGAGACCAGGGTGTTGCAGCCAAGAACTTTCCAGTATTTCTCACGGGACAACTCATTTCCACAGTGAGGAACACGTCCTGCTTGATGCACATCTCAGCAGATAATTTTTCTGGTTCTGCTTCCACAATGACTAAGCAAACTTTCAACCAATTATTATTCTATTGTTTATATAACCTGCCTACTTTGAGAGAATAGATGAATATTCTAATCCACAGAACAACTTAGTATCACATTTAATTAATATGAATTAATAAGTTGCTGTTATATTTTACTTCAGTTTCATATGATTCTCAGAATCGGATGATCTCCAGGAGCTAAGTATAATGGTGCCTTCCAAAGGAGGGGTAGATCCTAGGACATTGCTTCTCAACTTGGAAGTTCATTCAGATCACTTGGAAATCTTACTAAAATGCATATTCTAATTCAGTAGATCTGGAGTGGGGGCCCAAGATTTTCCATTTTTCACCAGTTCTCAGGGAATGCTGTGCTGTGTTCCACGTTTTGAATAGTAAGTTCTTATAGTGTGATAATATAATTAAATTACCAACCAGAACATCCTCCTTGCTTCAGACAGCATTCCCTAGATCAGTAGAGCTTTAAAAATATGTACTAGTGCCCTTGAAAACAATTCAATCAATCTCTGGAGAATGGGTTTAGGGAGCTCTCCACATATTCTAAAGTGAAACTAAGGTTGGAATTCATTGCTGCTGTATAAGGAACTGCATTTTACTATTTTTTAATATGAAAAAATGAGATTAATGAAGCTAATTACTCTTTAGACTTAATGATAGTGAAAGTCATTGAATAAAAATCTCTCTATAGCATTTAAAGACCTAATCCAAAATACTGCTTTAGTTTGTTTTATTTCAGAGAATGACTTTTGTTTTTAAAAGAAAATCAACACTGGTGGAATTAGAATAAATTAAATTTTAATTGCTTGCCTTCCTCTCTACCATTTCATATTTATTCACTGAATGCAAGAGTGGATCATGAAAGAGTTCCTGGAAAATATATTCTGGCAGAAGTAGGAATCAGATATAAGTCTAGCTATAGGATGGTGAATTTAATTTTCATAACAATTTATATCTATCAGGAATATGCCAAAAACTGTGGGTCATCATACTGACTTTGTAATCAATTAAATGGTGTTTTTTATCTGACAGAGATCACAAATAGTCAGCATAGGTTACTCTGTTTTGATTGTGTAGACATTTTATTGGTTTCTTAGTGATCAGATTTTTACATGCATTACAATTGCCATGTCATTTTCATTGTAAAACATTTTTGCATTACTTATGCAATTTAACAAATTTATCTTTTTTAAAACATTTATTCAGCAGAACTAAGTTTCCTGAGAATTTTTTCTTAAAAAAAAAATATACCAATGAGTCTAATAGATTAGAAGGACATCTAAGGATAGAGTCTGCCATGCTTTTTACTGAGAACTTAGATTTTCATATGCCCAAGTTTTGAGATAATCATTAAGACTTTTTTTGAGATATCTTCAAAAAAGTTCATGAATACAGTCAAAGATATATAATGACAGAACTAAGGAAAAAACATTTTTTCTATAGCCTTAGACTGGTATGATTCTAAACCACATCACTTGTAGTGCACAATGAATTAATTTGAAATTGAAATACTATAAACATGTTATGAATGATACAATATATTGCACTATTTCCATTAAAACTTTTTATTTGTTTAATGTAACCAAGTAATTTTTATTACAGTTCTTATAATCTGGCCTTGATTTTTTTCCCTTGGGCTACATATATATTAAAAATTCCAAGCCCTAGAATTGACTCAGTGTCACAAACAAGCCCTAACTCAATTGAGAATATATAAAAGTATAAATAATGAATAATTACTCCCATAAAGTTTGAACCAGTTTCATATATGAATGACAATATTCATTCATATTTTTAAACTTGTTTACCTTCCCTAGATATCCATGTTTCTTGCCTTCTTAAATTTCCTTGTCTTAGATAAAACATGATCTCCTAGGGAAAGCTTTCCTGGTTAACAATGAAAATTGCTAAGTTATCTTTAATTTTGGGCCCCCATCTGTCTCTGTGACTTGGTGTTATGAATTGCATTATCACTATCAGACATTTTATATATTTTATCAATTACTTTTTCTTTGTTTTTCATTTATCTCCTCACAAAAAAATTCAAAAAAGAAAGGAATTGTTTTTTTCAATTTTGCGATAGTTGTATGTCTACCACCTTGAAAAGTGCTAGGCCCATCGTACATGCTCAATAAATATTTGTTGAATGATTAATTTTATTCCCCATTACTGTTGGTCTGATAATTATAGAATATTAGTGTTAGTTATGATGTTTATAGGGTTTTAAATTTTGTCATCTATCTTCAATTTATGTCATTTTTAAAACAATGTCAGAAAATTTATCTTCCAGGAGTTTTCTCACCTTTAACACTTGATAGAACAAATATTGAAATTATTATAACTTATATGAAGTTATGTTAGTTTCTGAAGATAATTATTCAAACTAGAATGGTCAAGGTCTACAATCAAGTTATATCAATACCTATTGAGTAACAGACGGCCAGTTAAAAGCTAAACATGCTAATATTAGTAGCTTTCTATTATTCTAGCAAACAAGTTAGAAAATAACACTGATAAAACACATGCCATTCACAATAAAAACTAAAACACTCTAACAATAAACAGAACATAGATGTAAAATACAGATGGAACAGATTTGATTTACATGAGAAAAACTACAAAATTCTTCTGGGATACAAAAGAAGAATTAAATAAAAGATATTTAATGTAAATTAGGCAAAAGCTACATCTCATGAAATATTAATTCTCAATTTAATATAAAGGTAGTTTTAATAAAATTTTAATTTAAAAATTCCAGCTGAGAATTTTGAAACAATTTTAAAAAGTAGAGAAAATAGGAGAGGTAAGCCAAGAATATTTTGCATATTAAATAATAAAAAAAAGGACTGGTAATATAGTTGACTCTTCAACATCAGGACTTGAACTACATGGGTGCAAGTATACCTGGATTTTTTTCAATAAATACATTGGAAATTTTTTGGAGATTTGTGACAATTTGAAAAAATATTTTCTTTTCTCTAACTACTTCATTATAAGAATACAGTATGTAACACATACACAATATATATGTTAATTGACTATGTTATTAGTAAGGATTCTGGTCAGCAGTAGGTTGTTAGCAGTTAAGTTTTGGAGCAGTCAAAAATTACATGCAGAGTTTTGACCACTTGGGGAGTCGCAGTCACACCCCTGTGTTGTTCAAGGGTCAGCTGCACTGTTGTTGATGAGGATGTAGAATACCTGAAACGCTTATATATTGCTGTTGGTAAAATAAAATGATGTAAATACTTTGGGAAAAGTCTGGCAATCCCTTGTAAAAGTAATCCCTTGTTAAAGTAAAAATGGATTTCCTGTATGACCAACAATTAATAGTCCTAAGTTTTTACCAAAGAAAAATGAAAATATAGGTCTATACAAAAACTTGTATGCAAATGTTTATATCAACTTTACTCATAGTAGGCAAAAACTGGTAACAACACTAATGTTCAACAATAGGTAGATAGAAAAACAACTTATTTTGTAGTCCTGCAGGGGAATACAATTCAGAAATATAAATTAACAAAATAAATGAACAAAAAAAAGAAAGAAAACAAAAAAAAAATCAAAATGTATTGAAAGAGCTAAAATAGAAAAAATAATATAGTAGGCACAAATAATCTATATCCTAACAGTTCAATATATCAGTAATCACAATTTATACAAATGGACACACTGTTCAATTGAAATGCAGTAACTGGCAGAAAGATAAAACATATTCATCTCTGTTTTTTACAGGGGCATATCTAAATCATGAAGACAAGATTTGAAAATGAGATAGAAAAGCACAAAACAAATGTGTACTAATTAAAAGAATGATGGTGTTATAAAAATCTTTAATGAAAAAACAAGTTAATAGAGATACAAATTAATAGGATCAATGAAAAATAATAAAGGATTCAATTCATTCAGAGGATATAATAATACTGAACATGGGATGGGCAGAATAAAAGTAGCCTTAAAATATCCATAGCAAAAATTAACTTAACAAAGAGAAATTGAACCATTCACAATTATAATGGTCTATTTTAACAGAACTTTTTTGAAAATTAGAGACCAATCATTAAGTGTATTTATGATTTGAATGTCATGATGGACAACTTTGAGTAAAGGGACATATATATAACACTAAAACTTTTAAGCACAGATGAAAATTTTATTAATTATTCCTTTCCTAAGTCATAAATCAGCTGAAGTTTCAAAGAATTTTAGTATTTATGGCCAGTTCTCTGACTGCAATTTAGTTAAAACAAGTCAATTACAAAAGGTCTAAAATCATTTTATTTAATTTGGAATAAAAATAGTAGGAACAATTCTGAGGGCCTATTTTTACTGGAAATCAAGAAATACTTATATTAAGTTTTTAAAAAGTACTACATATCAGTACTACTGTGAAGTACCTAAGGTTGCATTGAAAGGGATTTTATAACTCAAATGGTTATATGTGAAAGGCAGAATGCTAAAAATTAATAAGCTAGGCATTCAATGTAATAACTGGAGACAGAAAACTGGCTTTACAACTAGAAGAAAAAAAATGACAGTCAGTCATTAGTAGAAAACAAAGATAAATTGAGAAAACAACTAAGCCAAAATACAGTTCACTGAAAATGAGGGCAGAATGGAGGCATGGGAGGGTGACACTCAGGGAGAACACGAGCAGGAGGAATCAGTAAGAGTGTACATGAACTGAGAGCAAGAGGGTGCTGGCCACGGCAGGAAGGCACTGAGAAGCCAGACCGGGACTCAGACAGGACAGTACCACCACCAGTGAGGTCATTCAACGTCTGATAAGAGGATACACACTGCACTTTGAAACTCTTGAAAATATATGAAGTGGAGAAAAATTCTTGTATAAAGTACTAAAAATGACTCCAGAAGAAATGGAAAACTCTTAATAGTCTTGATTCAATTGAAATATTAATTAAAATTTTTCCGACAAAGAAAGCAATGGCCCTAGATACCTTTACAATCTAGTTTTAGTTTTAAATAAGGCTTTTCAGACAATAGAAAAAGCAAGAACATTACTCCCCAGCCAGTGTTATGAGTTTAGCATAATCTGAAATGAAACAAGTATGTTTCAAGAAGAAAAAAATTATGAACCCCACTAATTCTTGAAGCTAACAATGTTCCTTCATATGCTCAAAAAGCTACTTTCTAAGTTAGAGCTCAGTCACAAATATGGCTATTTGTTTAATTGAAATGGAATCTTTTTTTCTATTTAAAGTCAATCTAATTATGTTTCATTCATTCATATCTTACTTAGTCAATTTGGTATGTTTAGATTACCAGAGGGCTGAGGCTCATCAGCCCCATAATACAATGATAATGTGTGATTCTGAACTTCTACATCTGAAACCCGGGGTTTTATTTCCCCATGTTCACAGACTAAAATCCAAATGTTCTAGTTACTATGGAGAACTCTCTAAGGTCTCTGCCCAGACTTCCTCCAAGGACTGTCATCATCAGTCTTTTATGTGAGCCTTAATTATAGTCAGTTTCTTTATTTCATGTTCTCTAAGTATGCTCTTCTGACTGACACTGTGCATTTACATGGAACTCTTCACCTTGCCCCTACTGATGAAGGATTTTTACCATCCAGTTCATGTGCTACTTTCTCTATAAGGCCTTCTACAACCTTCTGAATCTTCTCTAAATGTCCATAGTAATGAATGCTAGTATAGTTCATTTGGTCTTTTATATTTATTTATATGTACAGTAAGTAGAGACCTAAAATACATAAGCCCTAAGTTCATTATCACATATATTGGAACCATGAAGGAGTAAAATATGTATGTTTTTGGGTAAGAAACACATAAAATTTACCACCTTGACCACTTTTAAATGCACAGTTTGGTAGTATTGTTGTGAAATAGATTTCTAGAATATTTTTATCATGCAAATCTGAAATGCTACAACTATTATACAAAATTCTCCTTTTCCCAGTTCACCAGACCCTAACAAGCAGCACCATTCCCCTCTCCATCTTCATGAACTTGATTACTCTAGACATTTTATGTAAGTACAATCACACAGTATTTGTCCCTCTGTGACTGCTGGCTTCACAAAACATAATGCCTCCAAGGTTCACCCATGCATGTGACCAAATTTCACTATATGCACTTGTTAATGTGGCTAGTTTCCATTTCCTTGGGATGAACACTTTATTAGGCACTCTTTTTTTCAATAATATCTTTACTATTGGTGATAGGCTTTATTATTTGTTGTACTTAGCGTAGAGAAGCATTGTTCACAAAATATTTCCATTGATCCCTTGAATAGTACTGAATAAAATACAGCAAAGATAGGCTCTACTGCAGATATTTAAAGTTGGGGAAGAACAGTTGTGATTTGTGTTGACTTACAGCTTTCATGTACCTGCTTGTCAGTGTACACCACAGAAATGCATGCCCCAGGAAAATTACCAGTTAATTTCCTGCCATGCATTGGTTTCACTTATTAAGAGTAGAAAATATTTTACATTAAAGTCCATGAACACAAATAATTTGTTTTGTTTCTAAACTAAAATAGTTATCTTCATATTCATATGCTGTCTAGCCCAGTGGCCTGCATGAGCAAGGTGCTCAGTAAATATCTATATGAGGTCTATTTTCCTACTGTGAAATGATGTTTAGAAAGATAAGCTTCATGGAAACACATCCCTTTTTTTGTCCTGTTGCTCTAATACCAGGTACCACTTAGATACTCAATAAATAGTTCCTGAATGAATAAATGACTGAATGAATATAACATTATATTTTAAAAGATCATACAGAGAGATTATACTAAAATGAAGTAATTATATGGGTACATGCATAATCATTGACAACATACACATGTACACACACATTTATTTACAATATATGCATTTCTATATATATATTATATACTTTTATAATACATATCTAAAATATATTTTCATTTCTGTATTTTTATAAATTGTATATTTACATACAATATATACATGTATATTCAACAATATAGACAAATTGTATATTTATATGCAATATATGCAACATGTTTAATATTTACCTTTCCAAAAATGCTTAGTCTTTTGGGGTCAATGTATGGTTGTTTCAGTAAAAATCTGCAGTGAAAAAGAAGGGAATAGTTTTTTCTTCTTGAGTAAAATGTACATGGGGATTCATTCTTGGCACCGCACACACACACACACACACACACACACACACACACACACGTGCGCACGCACACACACAAACCCAGAAGTCAAACTAGAAATACTACAGTGGTTGCAGTTCTATTCATGTAGAAGGGCTGTAGATACTCAGCTCTTGCTACTCAAAGTGATGGTCCAGTAGTCTGGGATCACCTGGTAGCTTGTAAGAAATGCAGAATCTTGGGCCCCATTCCCGGCCTCAGAATCCACGTATCGTTTAACAATATTATAGTCAGTTTCTGTGCACTGTTTCAAAGAGCCTTACTAGCTTTCTCAGGTCACTCTTTTTTGCCAGTGTGGGAATGGGAGCTGAAGACTCAAGCATGGCAATGAACTGGGGAAATATTAGACATTGTGAATTATTGCAAATAAATAATGTAGTGGATGGTCTCATTTTCATAAATCCAAAGTGAATTCTAATTCCAGAGGGAAAGGAAGTCTGATAATTCTTTTATTATGGTGGTAAGAGTAAAAAGTTCTTGAAAAAAATCCAGTAGTCTGCAGGATTAGCTTAGAAAATTGTCTAATGGCTAAAATAACAAACTTCTGAGTCAATGTGATTAGTATTACATATTATATTCCTAGCTTCTGTCATTAAAGGAAAAACACTTTGCAAATGTGTACCCACTTACTTCACAGCTGCTATTTGGTCCTTTACTTCCACCGAACCTAACTTTCGATGTATCGCCTGCAAAATTTTCAGGCCCTGGAATCCACTTCCTCTGCCATCAAATCGTGCTATGATGACATTATCTGTGTCAACAAGTACTGAGTCCCAGTCCATATGGAACTTCTCTGTCACGAGCTGGCCCCCTGGCTCTTCATCCCTGCAAATACCAACACATTGGCAAAGCAGGGGCAGTTGACAATGTGATAGAAGTTTTAGCTTTTTCACTTATAAGATACCCATGCTGGCTATTAGAACTTCTTACCTCTTGATAATAAAACTTAAAGTAGAAATGTCATTTTCCTTCGTATAATTTCAAATGAAAAGTTCTCTGAATGAAATGAAAATATGGAGCACAATTTAAAACTGTTCATGAGAAATTAGAGTCAATTTTTCAAAAAAAGGAAAATGAAGAAAAATACATGGCAGTTTCCACAGGCATTTGTAAAGAATGATCCAGTTGACATAGAGGTCTTAGTTTATTGGACTTCTTCCAGATGGTGGATTTTAGAAAAGTCTTGCTGAACTAGTTACAGAGACTTAATCATAATTTCACAAGCTTTAAAAAGACAACAGGCCCAAAATGGAATCACTTTTGCTAAGTCCCACTAAGACTGAATACCTAACTTAACTGCAGTTTCAGCCTCTCAGGAGTGGAATTTTAAGCCAGTCAGTGTGGAATTCCCTGATCGGCACTAGTGAAATAAACTGCATGGTAAGAGTCTTCCTTCTATGGTAAGGTGACCTGGCCTGAAATAATAATTTCTTCTCTTTTCCTCTGTCCCACCCATTTCTGCCTATAAAACTCATCCACTCTTCATAGTTCCTTGGAGCTTCCTTCTAGTTGTTAGATGGGCTGCTGCCCAATTCTTAAATCATTGAATACAGGCAACTAGATCTCTAAATTTACTCTGTTGAATTTTGTTTTTTAACATAAGCAATGTACAACCCTAAAGAATGTCAGAGTCAAAATGGAACATTGCATTAATAGTTCTGAATTTATTTTTTTAGGTGGTAGAATTCTCACTGAGGAGAATTTAAGTAAATAGTGAGAAAAAATTACTTTTTATCACTTTAGTTGACAGCAAGAAAAGAAAGCAGAGACACATATGTTTGAAAAATTTGAAATCTAGAAGTAAAGAAGGACACACAAATTATAAAGCATGAACATTCTCTCCAGAGAGAAAAGGCAATACAATTTTACAATTTCCTATTACAATGGCATTTGTTATTTTCCAGAATGGAAAAGGTAAAAAAGCAAACTCTCATAAAATCGCATAGCTCACCTAGGGCCAAACCTAGCATAGTTCAAACATGCATGCGATAGACTTAAAGAGCAACAAAACATGTGACTCTCTGAAAAGTGCTCCATTATGAATTGGGCTTCATGCCAAAAATCCTCACCCTACTCACTCTCCTGTAAAGACTCCAAACTCTCTTGGTTCGTGTTTATGCATATGTGTTGTTGGAAGGACCAATGCAAACCAATGCACAAACTAATCCTCATTAACAAGCTTTTAGGTTATCAAATTTGCTACAGAAAATAACTTCTGCACAGCAAATGGAACTGAGTAGATATAAGAGTTGTGTGGGACCTGTGAGTTAGGTAGGGGAGGAAGTAGGGAACAGGGCAAAACATCAGACAACTACAATTTACCGAGTATGGTTCTGGGCTGAATTGTGTCTCTCAAAATCCACACACTGCAGCTCTAGGGCTTACTACCTCAGAATGTGACTGAATTTGAGACTGTGCCTTTATGAATAAGCCAAAATGAGGCTTTTGGAGGGGGGAGTGGGATCTCCATGTTATATTTGGGTAGAAATTAGAAGGAAATTAGGGCATACAGAGAGACCCTAGGAATGTGAGTGCGCAGAGGGCAGACCACGTGAAGAGGCAACAAGAGGGCCGCCATCTGCAAGCCAGGGAGAGAGGCCTCAGGAGAAATAAAACCTGCTGACCCCTTCACCTTGGACTTCCAGCCTCCAGAACTGTGAGAAAATAAATTTCTGTTGTTTAAGATAGCCAGTCTGTAGTATTTTATTATGTCAGCCCTAGTAAATGAATATAAATGCCTTCTGTGGTCAAGCACTTAAGTTGCATTATCTTATTTACTATACACTACTAAAATGTTATTCAGCCTTTCTGGGGAATAAGTTGTCTGTTGCATGGATTACATGTACTGTTACTCATACATGGTAAATAAACTGTGCCACGGCAGTGTTTTAATCACGATCCTGTCCACTCCCTCTTAAATCACACGTTCCATGGTGATCCTCTAGTCCAAGTGTACATCTGCTTTATCTCTCCACAGTGTTTGCAATTTTTTCCTCTTTCTAAAATTTAGTGTTTAGTTTATTTTAGTTTTTTCAAACTTAGCTCTTGATCAGATTATTGACGATTGTTACTACACCTACCCACATGCTCTTACCTAGAATTCTACTTGTCTAGTTCATTGAACTATTTTTTTTTTCAGATTCCCAGTGATACTGATATAACTTGTCTACTGTTTGAGAAATAGCATGACTCATTATACCTAGCACCATTTCTGGTGCACAAAGAACACAGAAAATGCTTGTTGAACTAGACCCTTTCAGGAAAGTAGACTCAGGTGAAATTTAAAATGGGAGGGACATTAAAAAGACTTGAGTTTATATCAAGGCACTGCATTATGAAACTGGGGGATTTATTGCAAAAATTAGGATGCAAAACATGACTCGCAGAGGGCAAAAATACAATGACTAACTTCAATTTCTAAACTGAGTAAAATATGAGAGTTTGAGTTCCATCTTCACTCTGAAATAGATAAGTAAGACACTGACACTCTGCCTCAGTTTCCACACCTTTAATAATGGTAAACTACTGTCTTGTTTTCCTCAAAGAGTTTTGTAAACACTAAATGGCATCATGTACTTGGAAATACTTTATGAAATATAGTGAGTAGTATACAATGACAGATTCATTGCACAATATAAACTGTTAATACTCTCATTCAAAGCACTTTTGTTAACATTGAACATATTTCCTTACTGTTCAAAACAGAGAACCTTAGAAAAGATTTGGCTGTGAAGAAATTAAATTGGGAAATATCTATGGATAAAAATATTGTGCCATGTAATATGGGCTGTTATGTCAGAGGGGATTCCATTTTCTAGATGGACCTATTAATACCTGTTGAGTAAATGAAAGTTTTCAACCAGAATCCCTGGCTGTATGCATAAAAGGCCCTGTTTGCATGTCAATGTGACATTTATCACAGCAGTCCATCAGGGGACTGCTGGTCTGGGGTAAGGGGTAAGAGAGTAGCAGCTATTCTTTCCTCCCCTCTGTTTCTGGTATGTAATTGGTACCAGGGAATCCCCCCACGGAGTTCCTCCTGGAGAAATGGGCCAGAAGAAATGGGATGCTGGTGCCATGGTCGGAGGGATGGAGCTTGGGGAGAGGCAAATGAGAGGGGGAAGAGAGCACCTGCTGGGGAGAGAGGAGCATACTGGGAGGAGAGAGACTGGGCATGAGAAGTAAAAACCATTGCCCAACCTCTCACCCTTGTTTTCTTTTGGTCTCATAGAAGTCATAAAGGAATTGCCCCAGGTGGAGAACCCTCTTCTGCCCTGTCCCCCAACCCAATCCCTCACTAGCCACAATACCTAAAGGCTTATTAGACAACAGAAAAATGCAATCAATGTATGCTTTGGTGTGATTATCAGAATACTGTCAGTTATTAAGGAAGAATTTTCTAATCTTACTGACAGCAGCACTAAGATAACGTTATAAAAGACTTTGTTAATAATTTTCCAACTTATATTTAACCCATTGCATTGTTCACAGCCATTTTAAGGAGTTCATAGCTATCAAGTTTAGAAAAATGTTAATAAGTCACACACATTTTATGGCAGCCAAATGAATTATTTTAAAATATAACAAATATAATTTAACATGAGGGACATTTTTCAAACTGATGATTAATAAATGGCTGCAGTATTTTTTAAAACAAAATCCTTCACTCCCTTATTCATGCTTGCAATACCCAGGGGAAAAATACAATTTTGTCCATTGCTCTTTCTCTACATTGCCATTTTTAACTTCAATCTTGCCTTTAGAAGGTTTCAAGTGATATCAATAATTTTCCGCCAATGATTTTAACACATTACTCTATCTAGTTGCGTGCACTACTTTTTCTTTTTTAGTGCATGATATATGCATATCTCAGATTCTCTACAAAGTGTTCACCAGAAAACATTAGAGGTTGAAAGGTAAGAAAATACTGCTTATTCAGTGAGGTAGGAATAGCAAGCTATTTGGTGGTTCAACTGACTACAAAGAATGTACTATAGAACAAATCATCCACTCTATAATAAATAAGTACCATGATTCATGTATATATTGATCATGCAGAATTGGTGAGACCCAATTCATGTGGTTCCTTTTTATTTTATTCTAAGTGACTTCCTCATTTTTTTTCATTCACTATTCGTTTTCCTCTGTCTCAAAAATCTCTGGGGGCCACAGAAAGGAGGATGTGTCAAGGCTGACAATGGGAACATGCACTTTTGTTGAAAGTTATGGCAAAAAGAACAGTTCCCTCTGTTTTAAGCAGTGGAAAGTTCACAGCAACATGAAAATATATTTCCTAACACAGGCAGCAAAATCAAATTAACATTAGCCTCTCCTTAGAAGCTAAGGTCTTTGAGGGCACAGTCTTTGTTTATTTCAGTACTTTCAACACTAACTTGCCTATGGATGAAGAGTTTGGGATATAAGCATATAATAAAATACAAAAAAATGATGAGTCAAACCTACAATATCCAACAGACCTTTAGAATGACAGAACAAGCCACCTCTTTATGACATAACAAAACATCATCTGTGCCAAAACAGAATTAAAGTGAAGAGATTTGTTTTGACTATCTGTTTGGTTAGGTCCACAATGTTATTTAAATTCATGAAAAGAGGGTTGAGTCTCTGCTCAGAAGACAAAGGTTTAAGTCCTGACTTTGTTACTGATCTGCTAAGTTACCCTGAACAATTCTACACTCTTCTTATTTTTATTTATTGTTTTCAATATGAAAGAATGTTGTAAATAGTTAAATTCATGCACAGTAAGTTTTTAAAAGACTTTTCCTTACCACAAAACTTTGGTTACAATAAGCAGAAGGGAAATA